TTCAGGAATACTGCTCAGGGAAAAAAATAGGATCTCCTGCAGAAACATACTAGTTTTCTTACAACAGGATGCTATCAAAATGCCAATGTTCAATGAGCATTTGGGGTACATTTTTTTTAAAAAAATGTACCCCAAATGCTCATTGAACATTGGCATTTTGATAGCATCCTGTTGTAAGAAAACTAGTATGTTTCTGCAGGAGATCCTATTTTTTCCCCTGAGCAGTATTCCTGAACTGCATGCTGCATTATATCTATTAACAGTCCTGCTACATGAAGGCACACACACACACACACACACACACACACACACACACACACACACACACACACACCACTGTTTACATATCTCCTTAGATATAGAACCACCAAGGACACAATTTGCCCTTTATGCGAGAACTTGTGCTATTTAATAAGGAGTGATGTATTTTTAATAGAATCTTGGATTTAAATGTGCAAACTCCATTAATAAAAGTTGTCTTTCCAAGAAAGATTAAATTTTTTCCAAATTATCTACTGGTTTGGGTCCTAATGGAACAATTTGATATATCTTATGATGATTACTTAGTTCTTCACTAAACATTTACACCAGGGACTTTCCCCTCTGGCTGTGAAAAAATATAGCTTTGTATATTTGGGGATTTGCTAATGTGTGCTTCCCCTTCTCAGGACTTCTCTGTGATTAACTTTAAGTATAATTTTCGAAGAGTCGTGGAGAATCCTTGCCACATTCAGCACAAACATATGCATGAATCAGGGGTGGGTTCCTACTAGCGTTGCTACCGGTTCACTTAGTGTGCACGCAATTCATTGTAAATTGTTCTGCGCATGCATGAAGAACATGAAAACTACTAAAAAACATGCCAGCAAAGGCAGCAGCGACCAGGGAACAGGTTCGGGGGCGTGGCCAGCCTGGGTCGCTGCCAGTTCTGCAGCCCAGGCCAAATGACCACTACCGGCGAACTGGTAGAAACCCACCTCTGGCATGAATGTCTATGGACAACACATACTGGTTATTTTGTATGAAATCATCATCTCTGTAAACAATTCTGGGCAACACTGGAAGGAGAACAGGTTTCGGGTTCAATTCCATGCATTTCCAGATATTACTGGAAAAACTATCCTCTGAAACCTCAGTTGTCCTTCCTCTATTTGGTATCCTCCAAATCTGTAGAGCCACAAGTCCTGCAATACAAAGAGCAGCATGCTTAACGTTTATTCTGGCTAGGACTTTCAGGGTTATAAACCAACACCAGGCTGGAAAAGAACAGTAAACAACTTTAGCCATTGAATGGAGAAAATTTTCAAAATAATAACTTAAAGCCCAGGTTGATGAATATAGGAAGATGTAATTTAATAAATAATCCTGAATATTTCAGGCAAAGAATGGGCAAAGGCTGCATGGAAGCCTTAGTTAGTTAGTTATCTCCAAATTTAGAGGGCCAATTGTTTGACAACTTTAGTATTTACAAATAAAAAGAAAATTTGTCTGAAATGGTATAGGGTTTCCTGTCTAGGCAGGGGGTTGGACTAAAAGACCTCCAAGGTCCCTTCCAACTCTGTTATTCTATTCTATTCTATGCTATGCTATGCTATGCTATGCTATGCTATTCTAAAAACAATATATGGAGATACAAGTAAGAAAGAAGCCTGGTTCTAGGGGAATAAATACACCAAGCCATTCACTAGCTATAACAACATTAAAAGTGCTCCCTCCCATCTTATTCCAAAGCCTTCGAGAACAACAAACTTTTAACAGTTTTCTAAAACAGCAGGAGTTTGATCCTGATGGGCTCGAGGTTGATTCAGCCTTCCAGCCTTTTGAGGTCAGTAAAATGAGGACCTAAATTGTTGGGGACAATATGCTGGCACTGTAAACTGCTCAGAGAGTGCTGTAAAGCACTGTGGAGAAGTATGTACGGGAAGTCCAAGTGCTTTGCTATTGCTAAATGTCACAATGGTGGAAGTTGTGTAAATCGGGGGGTTGGGGGGATTTTGTTCCAGAGAAAGTGCACATCTTGGCTCCTACAAGATGCCCCAGTTTAATTTATGGGACCCAGAACGTATTTATTCCGCTTGATTGTACTGGATGGACAGAAATAATTGTAGTTTACAGTGTTCAGATTATGTTGCTAAACCTTTCAGCAAAAAGAATGCACAACAAGTAATTCATTTAAACATCCCATTGTATGGAACAGAGAGAAATCCCAACACAAACGTTTCATACACTGAACAGTCATACATGAAAGGAAAACCTAAACTTTCCCAGCAGTTCCTGGGTCAGGGAGTTTTGTTACCCCATTGTGATTCTTGCACTGTTCTGTTGCTTCCCCATAGGGAGTTGTTTATTTTTATTTTGTTGTTTTGCAATGAATATATTTTAATCTATTTCTCTCATGTCACATAGTGTGAGGTCCAGAGTTGCTTTTGCCATGGAGACAGTCAATAAGGTCACTAAATAAATGAATAAATCAGAACTGTAACTCAAATATAACTTGTCATCCTCAAACAGTGTACCTCAACCTCAACAATTTTGAGAAGTGTGGATTTCAGTTCCCCGAATGAGAAATATTGGCTGGGGATTTCTGGGAGCTGAAGTCCACAAATCTTAAAGTTGCTGAGATTGAGAAACACTGAGGGGGGTGGGGGGAGGAGAACCTAATCCTAAAGTTTCCAGTGAATTGGCGGGGGGGGGGGGGGACTGGAACAAGATTTCCCCTTCTTTGATGAACTTCAAAGAAACCTGTTGTGGGAAGCTTCATTTTGATTTTGTTCTGCCTTTTCTCTTACAGGACAAGCTAAAACACCTTTTTCTGGGCAGGCCTGAAACCAGGTAAACAGCAATTTAACCCCTAGGAATTCCTCCAACTAAGCATTAGTGGAAACTAGATGTGAACCAGGACTTTTATTCTTTAGGGGGAAAAAGGCTTTGATTTGTGTTCCCTTTGTTTTACTTTGTTCTCCCCTTGTTATACTTTGCTGTATCTTGTTCAGCCTTGATCTGTGTATTTGCATTTGTGTTTGTGTGTGTGCGTGTGTGTGCGCGCGCGCACGCACACACATAGTTGAAAGCAGTCATAGAGTTAAACCATGTAGAAATTAATGTTCTTTCCATTGTTTTGGTTTAGTTTTCCCTCTCTGTTTGGCTTCAGCTATAACTAAATCTTGGTATACAGAACAAAGACTTGCATGTTTACTGAATCAGCCCCCTCATTCTGAAAGGATCATAACTTTAGCAGACGTTCCCCACCTTGATTAAGCAATGAAGAAGTAGGAAAGAGGGAGGAGATCACTGTGTGTTATACTCATGAGTGATTCATTTCCGAACAATAGATTTATCTTGGGGGGAGTGGGAATGAGTGGTAGGTATTAGTATACCAAACAACTAGGTATTGTAAAAGAGCTTAGTCATTACTTACCAGACTAGCATATGCTTGTGGATGCACCCTGGAATATCTCCCAAAGTTAAAGATCAAAAATGCCACATACTAGTCTACTCCCATGCCCCACAAGGGGACAATTTGATTTTTAATGGGGGCAATTTGAACCAAGTTAATGGTCTTTTAGGTTTCCTCTGTGTGAGTAAAGTTCACTTTTTGAGTAAAGTAGGAAATATATGGCACGGGGGGGGGGGAATCAGGATTTTAAAGATGCTTAGGTGAAGCATGGCCAAAAAAAAGGTTGGGAATCACTGGTCTACTCTGATTACATTACTGCATCATTAGCAAAACTCTTCGTCTCTTGAGGAGCACAAAAAAATGAAAGGGTCCCTCACAGTCACGATAAGGTAGTTGACTAGAAAGAAAAGCATTTACTATACATAAGAACAACACATTTGCCATGCATCTGGAACAACTGGTGTTTCTGGATCGTCTTTGAAGCTATAAACTTCATTTATAACTCAAATCATTCTCAATTATATAAATGCATACAGGTACAAATAGACACTTTTACAGCCATTGTGGTATGGGTACTGAAGGGACTGGATTAGGAACTATAATGGCTTTGCAGATGTAGACCTGGGGAAATATCTATCAACTGACAGTGGAATAGCAAAGTAAATTATAGCCCCGGGATGGCGAACGTATGGCACACGTGCCACAGGTGGCAGGTGGAGCCATTTGTCAGGGCACGAGGCATGCACTGACCAGCTGAGTTCACCCTTTGTTGAAGCCATTTTTCGCCCTCCGCAGGAACAGAGGCTTTATAGGAGCCTGGGGAGGGCAAAAAGAGCCCCCCCCGGAGGCCCTTCGGAGGCTTCATGAGCTTCCCTGAAGCCTCCGGAGCGCAAACACCACCCCTATGGGCAAACTGGAAGTTTGGGAACGGACTTCCGGTTTGCTCTGAGGTCATTTTAAGTTCTCCGGAGGCTTTAGGGAGTCCTCCTGAAGGTCCCTGGAGCCTCCGGAGGGCCTCTGGGGGAGGGCGGGAGCTTTTTTTGCCCTCCCCAGGCTTCTATAAAGCCTCTGGAGCCTGGGAAGGGTGAAAAAAGGGTGCAAAAATGGGGGGTGTCATGCCTGTAGTGTGCGCATGCGCACTGGGGGGATTGTGCATTGCATTATGGGTGCAGCACACCCACGCACAACCCCCTGCGCTCGTCCCACTAGTCTGACTTTAGGCGTTTTATGATCACTTGAGCAGAGTTAAGCAAGGGTTGTGGGGTATGGTAGAGGAGCTGCTTTCAAGCCATTGGAAAATATATCCAATCCAACTTCTGTGTTTGTGTATGTTTGAGAGAGGGGGAGGGAGGGGGGGAGGGGGGGAGGGGGGGA